TTCTTCCCAGGATGGACTGAAACTTCTTGCCATGGAGCTTCAGTTCTAAGAATAAAAATAATTTCTTGATATCGTGCTTCTAAACAGGCTCTCTAGTGACAAAGCACTCATTTTATCAGCATTTTTTATTTTATTTTATTTTAGTTTAGTTTAGTTTTTTGAGACAGGGTTTCTCTGTGTAGCTTTGGAGCCTATTCTGGCACTCAGTCTGGAGACCAGGCTGGCCTCGAACTCACAGAGATGCGCCTGCCTCTGCCTCCTGAGTGCTGGGATTAAAGGCATGCTCCACCAACGCCTGGCTTATCAGCATTTTTATTAGAAAACCTTGTAATGCCTTGTCATTGATTAATAAACTCACTGTCTACAACATCACCAGTCTTAAGGAAAAACAGGGTCAATAGCATCTCAGTACCACTCATGCTCTCCCACCGCCTCCAACTTCTAAGACTGTGATATCCACATACTCTAAAGTCGTTGCCTTTCACCACATAAACTTCTTAGATGTTGCCCTATAAAACTGGCTATTTCTCCTAATATGAGACATTTCCTTACTTCAGACAAACCTAGTAAAGTACTCTAAGGGTTATATAAAATGTGTTTCAAAATCATATCAACACTGAATGTTAGCACATTTCTTCTACATGACTTTTAAACTCAAAGATGTCTTCTGGAAATGACTCCAAAGAAAACAAAATACTTAGAAGCCATGATTGAAAAAAAATTATCAGTTACTTTTAGCACAATATCTAAAATCCAGGGCATAGATCTTCGGATCTCCTAAATAAACAGATACTAGGTTTCACCACCACCCCACCACCCCAATGCCTAGGTTTCTATGCTACCAAGCGATTTAAGACTAGAAAATGCTTTTTAAAAAATTGTAGAAACAGACTGTCTTCAAAAAAAAAAAAAAAAAAACAGCTCCCAATCAAAAAATAAATGGATCAGTAAGTAAAATATAATATAGATGGCTTTTATTCCTGGGCTACAGAGTTAGATCGAGATCAGGAGTCAAGAAACTAGAATGTGCCTGGCATAGTGTTATGTGCCTTTAATTCCAGCACTAAGGAAGCAGAGGTAGATTAATCTCTTTCTTTTTTTTTTCTTTTTTTTTTTTTTTTTTTTTTTTTTTTTTTTGGTTTTTGAGACAGGGTTTCTCTCTGCAGCTTTGGAGCCTATCCTGGCACTCGCTCTGGAGACCAGGCTGGCCTCGAACTCACAGAGATCCACCCACCTCTGCCTCCCGAGTGCTGGGATTAAAGACATGTGCCACCAACGCCCCGGCTGAGGTAGATGAATCTCTATCAGTTCCAGGCCTGCCTTGGTCTACAAAGTAAGACTTGGTCTTAAGAAAAAAAGAAGACGACGAAACTAGGACCTTCAGGCCAGCTTTGGTCAACACCTGTTTTGTATGATCTGTAAGCTAAGAATGGTTTTCACAATTTTTAAAAATTTTTTCTCCATTTTTTTATTTAAATTAGAAACAAGATTGTTTTACACGTCAATCCCAGTTCCCTCTCCCTCCCTCCTCCCCTCCCCCCCACTAACATCCTACCTATCCCACCATTTCTGCTCCCCAGGGAGGGTGAGGCCTTCCATGGGGGGTCTTCAGAGTCTGTCATATCCTTTTCGATAGGGCCTAGGCCCTCCCCCCTGTATCTAGGCTAAGGGAGTATCCTTCTATGTGAAGTGGGCTCCCAAAGTCCATTCCTATGCTATGGATAAGTACTGATATACCAACTGCAGTGCTTCATGAGGTTCTTGATTCTTCATACATGCCTAAATATTTTATTTCCTATTTATTGACAATCTAAAACCTCAAATGATTAAATGTACATTCTGTCTTAAATGATATCTCTAATCATTAGCCTCAATATTGCTTTCTGAATTCTTGGCCACCTGTGGATGAGTCCAACAATGGACTGAAATTGTGATTTGGAGATGGCTTCTGTTCTCTTGATTTAAACTGGTACTCTTAGCTATTGATTCCTTTGTATTTTTCCATGTTATCATGTCCAAATATGGGACTGTTTTATAGATACTGTCCTATCTAATGA